CAGTTTCCATAAAAATTTTCCCGTAAAAAATCCTCCTTGGGACTGTCTTCCCTGTCAGGAGGAAAAGCCCCATCCCACTGTTCCTCTCAGCTGCTCCCCCCCCATCCCAGCCCATGGGCCTGAATTTTATGCCTGAGGGGTCCCTTCCCCACAGGGCACCATGGGGGCAGTGGCAGGTGCTGCCCAGCCAGGTGTCCCCATCTGCTGAGGGCCCTTCCCTCCTCACTTCCTTTCCCTTCCCTCTTCCCTTCTCCCTTCCCTTCCCTTCCCTTCCCTTTTCTCTTCCCTTACTTTTCCTCTTCCCTTCTCTCTTCTCTTCCTTTTTCCCTTCCCTCTTTCCTCTTCTATTCTCTGCCCTTCCTTTCCTGCCCCCCCAGCCTGGGGATCACCTTTCCCTGATCTCCCTAATCCACCCTGATCCCACTGATCCCATTATTCTCACCCATCACCTGCACACACAGCCCTGCAGGGTGCAGGGAGGGTGAGGGGGCTCCCCCAGCCATGTGAAATCTCCAGTGCAGGCACTGTGCTCCAAACCTCGGGATCTGGCCCTTGTCCCAAGTCCCTCCCCAGCTCTCCTGGAGCACCTTTAGGCATTGGAAGGGGCTCCGAGGTCTCCATGGAGCCTTCCTTTCTCCAGGCTGAGCAATCTTTTCCCAGAAACTCTAAGGCTGTTGGTGTTTGGAGAGATGTACCTGCACCCCAAACTGCCCACATGGGTACCAACATCTCAAAGTCTCCCAGATCCTGGCATCTCCTGTGGCTGCAAGGAAGGGAACACACCTCCCTTGGCCCTGTCAGAGGACAGAGCAGCCTCACCTGATCATGGAGACTATTTGGGCTTTGTAGCCCTTGCCACTGCCCTCTCCTGGGAAGGGAGGCTGCCAGGAAGGGCCACAGGTAAAGAAATGTCACTGGGAGGCTGGATCCAAAAGGCTGTTTGCTCCCAGCTTGCAGTTAGCTTGGGGAGTGGCTTGCAGGATTGGGAACACGGCTTGAGCTGGGCTGTGCCACATCCCACCCTCTGAAAACTGCAGACTCCAAGGATGGTGCCCAGGCAGGACTCATGTCACTCACTCGCAGTCCTGCAGCTTCCTCCTGTGGAAAGGGACACGGGTTCCCAAATCCACACACCCAGGACTTGACAGAATGAGGGGAATCAGCCTCAAGTTGTGCCAGGGGATCTTTATATTAAATATTAGGAAAGCTTTTATCATGGAAAGGGCTCTAAAGCTCTGGGACAGACTGCCAAGGGAAGTGGTAGAGTCACTATCCCTGGAAGCGTTCAAACAAACATGTGGATGTAGCACTTGAGGACATATTTTAGTGGTGAACACGGTAGTGCTGGGTTGGTGGTTGGACTTAATCATGTTAAAGGTCTTTTCCAAACTTAACAGTTTAATGTTTTTATCTGGACGAACTCAGACCCAGCAGCTTTGCTGGGGCAAAGAAGGAATTTGGGGCTTTATTTTTTGCCTCCCTTGCCCTTGGCCTTGGCCCTGGCCTTCTTCAGCTTTGCCTTGAAGAAGGACCGCACCACGTAGCCTCTCCAAGCAGCCTGGATGCGGGTGGCAGCACGGTTCCTCCTGGCCTGCTCCTGCAATTCCTCCTCCTCCTTCTGCTTAAGCATCTTGCGCTCCTCCTCAATCTGGGAATACTCCTGGAGCAGCAGAGCGTGTTTCTCCATCAGCTGGGCCAGCTGGGCTTTCTCCTCGGTGTAGACAGCGTGAATCGCCTCGAACGTGGCCTGGCAGGTACAGCAGTTCAGCTCCCCCCTGTACACCCCCAAGGGTCCTGAAACCCATCCCAAACCCTTGCAGGACCACAACAGGGAGCTGAGCTGAGCTTTTCCAAAGGGATTCAAAAAGAAAGCATGTGCCCAGTACCCAGGGAATTTCATGAGATGCTGGGTCCCAGTATCTTCATATTCTTCTGAAAAATACTCCCACAATGGAATATTTGAGAACAGTGTGGGGGGTGTCTGCCTTGACAAATTCTACCCCAAACCTGCTCCTGCCTCCCCACAGACAGGAAACCAAAATAATCCCATTATTAAACACCTGACCGGGGGAATCATTCCTTACAATTAGCAGCAGCTTTCAGGCCCCTCCCTGCATTTTGGAGTCCAGCAGCTTTTATCCATCCCCATAAATAGTGCAGGAACAGGGAAGCCACCAGGGCCTTCCCAGAGGTGAGGTTTGGGAGTGCTCATGTGACCCTCAGGCTGTTATGGCTCAGTTGGGTGCAGGCTGTTGGGTTCCTTAGCACCCAGCACATCTCTAAAGGATCTAGCAGGAACAGGAGCGGGATTTGGGCACCAGATAGAGCCATGAGGATTGAGGATTGGAGCAAACCTGAAAAACCTGCTCCCTGGCATGTGGTGGACGTGCCTGAAAGAACGTGGCAACCCATAGGCCCCCAAATACTGTGTGATTTAGTAGTGGATGTAGCTTTTCCTAAAACCAAAGGAGCAGAGAACTCCTGGACACATAAGCAGGACAAAGATCCCTTTCCTGCAGTTCATCTGGATGGAGATCTGTCTGTCACTTCCATGGCTTCCTGGGTAAGAGCCACATGTCCATTTGGACAGGAATCTACCTGAGCAAATTCCCTCATGGCAGAGCAAAGCAGTTTAGAGCCAATACCTGTTTTGCTGCCATGTCTGTGTCATATTTCTGGATCCAGTTCTCAATTTCCTCCTCCGTTCTGCACTTCCTCTGAAACACAAAACAAGATCAGATCCCTGCAGGCACCTGGGGCCTGAGTGAGAAAGATCCTGAGTGAGAAAGCAGGGAATCTTTGAGCCCCAGCATCACTGTATCTGTGTATAACACCCCATCCCTGCAACAGGCTTCCCTCAGCTGACACATATGTGGTTTGCCCTGGTTTGAGGATTCTCCTGGGACATTCCCTGAGGCCCAAAGGGCTTTATTTGGTTGACAGCATGGAGCTGGGGAGTTGAACAGCACCTGAAAGGTGCTTTCTGCAGGAGGAAATTAATGTATCCTATGGAATGCGGTAAGTCATCGACAAACTGGAGAAACCACCCTAAAATAGAAGCAATAAAGAACTGCAAAGCATGAACACAGGACAGAAAGTACTCAGAAGATGCTCTTTTAAAAGAAGAGATATTTCTGGCTGTAGAACAGTTTAGCAGTGGCTGTACTGCTGTGCAAGCAGTTATGGGCAGTTTATCCCCAACTGCTGTATCCGTGCTCTGTGGAATCATTCCTGGTCCATCTCAGGTGCCACATGATTTCCTACGTGACACTGCCCCAGGAAGCCCCAGGGGCTCCCAGGCCATCATGAGGTCACACCTCAGCTAATTAGACCACAAGTACAACCTTGTACTTGTACACGAGTACAACTTGTACTTGCTGAGGAAAGGAGGCCTCTGTGGTCAATAAATGCGTCTTCCTGAGTGCTGGAATGAGCTGAGCACTCCTCAACAAGCCCTGCTGTGCTCTGCAGCCTCAGGGACTGCCTGACACTGCCCAAGGAGGTGTAAATGGGTAGATTTTGGGGGTTGTACTGTGGCTCTAACTTGGGTTTGGTGCTTTGTCAGTGCCCAGCCCTGTTGTCAAGTCGTACTGCATCACCCAAAGCAAGAGTGAGGGATACCCCCCACCACCAGCCTGGGCTGTCCTGCCCGTGGGGGGCTGTGATGGTTTGAGGGAATATCCAGGAGGAGCAAAATGAGGAGGGAAACTTTTTCCAGTTCTAGATTCTGTGTCACCAGAGTGTTCTCCTCAGGGCAGAGCTGTTGCTCCAGAGGCCTGAGCCTGCCTTGTGCTCCTGTTTCCTCCTCCTGTATCTGCTCAGCACTGGGGGGTGAAGGACTTTGGGGTGCTGCTGTGTTTGGGGCTGGACATGCCCTGCCCATGTGTCCTGGCACCCAGAACCCCCCATGCCCTGGGCTGATCCCCCAGCGTGGGCAGCAGGGCAGGGGGATTCTGCCCCTCTGCCCCCTCGGGTGAGACCCCCCTGCAGAGCTGCCTCCAGCCCTGGGAACACAAAGGGGAGGTTACGTGAGCTGCTGGAGAGGAGTCCAGAGGAGGCCTCGGGAGATGCTAGCCAGGGCTGGAGCCCCTCTGCTCTGGAGCCAGGCTGGGAGAGCTGGGGAGGGTTCCCTGAGAAGAGAAGGCTCCAGTGGCAGAGTGAGAAGCCCCTTGCATGGGCCTATAAGGGGCCTCAGGAAACAAGGGAATGAAATGACAGGCCAGGGGGAATGGGCTTCATGCAGAGGGAAGGATATGATCGGATACTGGGAAGGAATTCTGCTGTGAGGGTGGAAGAGGCCCTGGGCACAGGCTTGCCGTCAGAAGCAGCTGTGGCTTGCCCTGAAATCCCGAATTGTCCCATAGTCTGAGGTTTGTACGGGGCTGTGAGCAACCTGGGACAGTGGAAGGTGTCCCCTGCCTGTGGCAGAGGGTGGGACTGGATGGGTTTAAGGTCCCTTCCAACCCAAACCATTCTGGGATGATTCAATGAAATCACATTTACCCTCATTCAACCCAACCCGAGTCCTTGGCTTATCTCTTCAGCAACATGCCAAGCAGAGCAGGAGCTGCTGAGCCCTCAGCATCAGCCACATTCCACCTTGAACACTAAATCAACTCTAAAAGATGCCTTTCTATCAAGCCAATATTGTGTTTGCTCTGCTCACCCTACACCAGATCTCATGTTTCTCCACCATCCCTCACCTGTCCTGCTCCAGCCTTGCTGCCCTGCACTCTGCCCATCCACAGCCTCTCCCATGCCATGTCACAGCTCCGTGGGAAGGTGCTCCCAGAGCCGAGGCAGGAGCAGGACCTGTGACAGGCTCTATCCCTGCTGTCGCTGCAGGGCTGCTTTCCACTGGAATCAGCAGAGCATGAGGACAGAGCGGGTGTACTCTGACAAACAGCATGTGCATCCTGCCAGGAACGAGCAGGGACCAAGGAATCTCCTGTAGCAGACAGCAGGCAGAGCTGACAGCTCTGCAAACAGGCTTAAATCTCCTGTCCCAGAGCTCTCCTCCCCTTTACCTTCCTGAGAAGCAGCTCCGAGGCTCGATGCTCCTCTACCAGGGCACTGAACTGCACTCGCAGGCGCTGCACGTCCTCCTGCAGCCTGGCACACCTGCCCTGGGCAGCTTTCACCTCCTCCTCTCGCTGTTTTGCCCCTTCCTTCTTCATCTGCTGGATCTCAGCCTTGCGGTCCTTGGCCAGATTTTCCATGGTGGTTTTGAGGTCTTCAATCATTTTGTCCTTCCTGTCCATCTAGAGCCAGAAAACAAGAGGAGTATCACTGGGAAATGCCAGCGAGGCATAAGGTGGGCAGGAGAAAAAAGACCTGGCAAAGATTGAAGAGATACAAGAAGAGACCCTTAGGTGCCTGCTCAGGTAACACCAAGGACCTGCCACTGCTGGCTGAGGGAAGAGTTAGATTTACACAGGAGCTTTGGAAACCTCCTCCCTTGCTCCTCTGGGACCCCGTTAGTAAAGGTAGAGAGTGAACAAACCACCCCAAGCCTCACTGGCACTGCCACCTGAGGAACAGCCAAAAGCAGATTCCCTGGAGCGAGCCCCATGTCTCCCTTGAGAGCTGGATCAGGCTCCGAGTGACTGTCTGGGGAAACCTCCAGCTGGGATCAGTGAAACAGATTTATCCACGATGCCCTGGCCAAGCTGCCAAATTGCACATAAAAATCTCAAGTGTCTCAATTCCCAGATCTCCAAGGAGCAGAGGGAATGGGGAAAGCAGGCTCTTGGCTCTGCCAGCACCGTCCAGCGCAGCGAGCACAGGACAAAACCTCCCTCGCTGACCCCTCTTGCAGGGAGAAGAATGAGGAGCACATGTAGAAAACAAAGGATTGTTGTCAGGAGCTCAGGGCTTGGATGCTTGGCACAGTCCACAGGCTTGGAAAGTGCCTGGGAAGTGCCCAGTCATTCATCTGCACCTCAGCTGCAGATAAAATTAAAAATTGATGTAATTCATATAATCACTGATTAATCACAAATGCTCCAAGGCAGCTATTAGAGTCAGGAGTCACAGAAATGTTGGTTTTAAGCAAGAGCGAAGACAGGGCAGACATTAAAAATGGATTTTAATCAGAGCAATCTCTCCCTGGAATGACTTTTCATTGTTTCATCAGCAGGAACGAAGCAGCTGGCACTGTCACCCTGCCAAGACACAACCACAGTAATTTGTGTCTGTCCTGCAGCTCCTCTGGAACTTGTCTCGTTCAAGTTGGCTGGTGAGAACAGTTTCAAAACACGCCAAATTCAAGTTTTAAAAAAAAGTCAAGTGTGCAATAAGCATCCTCATTCTATTTTCCAATAAAAATAGTATCTTTAAGTTTAGTACCTGGTTTAGAAATGATTTCTGGAACTTGCTCTTTCAGAACTGCAATAAAGGGGTCAGTTTTTAGTTACCAAAGTTTTGTTCCAGTAACACTTTGCGGGAAAATATTCCCACAAGATCATACCTCCTCCTTTCGAGTCTGGATTGCTGCTGCCAGCTCTGCCTGTAGAGCTGTGATCACTTCGGTGTTTTGCTCAGCCTTGAGGGACATTTCTTCCACGAACTGAATCTTTTCTCGCTCTTCGGCAGGACTGGTCAGGAGCTTCTCCAGCATGAAATCCCTGAACTCCGCAAAGGCTTTGATAAACGCATCAGCTGGTGATGCTCTCACCTGGACTTGATATTTCAGTCCCTGGCAAAGCAAAGGGTTGGCCAGAAGGAGCCTCAGGATGTGTCTAAGAGAACATTTCAGGCGTTGCTCCCTGGCTCTCATGGTCTCCTGTGCTCCAGGGCTGGCGAGCAGGTGCTGCATTTCATTTGAAAGCTTTTGGTGCTCCAACAGGCTGGCTGTGATCTCAGGTCCCAGCATCCTAGCAAACCTCTCCAGGGAGCCAGTGATCCGTGGGATCAACCTGGTCATCTCCAGCTTGGTAATGGTCTCATCCAAGACAGTCAGGATTCTTTCCGTCTCTGCGCTATCAGGCTTTAGCTGACGTGGCTCCAACACCCCCATGGCACCCAAGGGGGTCGTTGCCTTCTCTGGAGTTGCCATGTCCTTCACCAGGGTTCACGATGATGCTTGGAATGCAGCTGGATTCCCTGTTGCCATGGATTCAACCTGTGGGCTGAGTGGTTTGAAGTCTAGAAGGGACACAGCTCGCACACAAGGTGAGACTCTCAAAAAACATCAAGGTCCCTGTACTGCCACTGTCACTTAAATCTTCCTTCTTGGATGTTCTCTCTAAGAGAAAACCATGATGACAGCATTAGGGAAACAAGGTAATGTAGGAAAATGTGTGAGTTTCAGATGACACTGGAGTTCTCCCTGGGTGTGGGCATGCGGTCAGGACATGCAGTCGTGGGTCAGAGCTGGTCTCTGTCCCAGAGAGGCTGGTGAATGCCCACAATAAGGCAATAATATTCCCTTAACAATAATTTCCTGGCCTCGAAGGGTGGTGGGAGGAAAGCTCCCAACTGCTTCTGAGGAGCAGCTGAGCCACAGCAGCACAGTCTGCAGCTCTTGTAGGGCCCTGTGCCCACCTTGGAAGGGTGGGCAGGGTTCCCAGTAGGAAACCTCTACCCTGTGCCCACCTTGGAAGGGTGGGCAGGGTTCCCAGTAGGAAACCTCTACGCTTCAGGCCTGGCACTGCCAGAGGGTGGGAGGGGAATCTGGAGGGAAAGGGCCGAGAGGAGGGGACAGGGAGGGCACAAGGAGGGGGCAGAGGGCACCGGAGTGTAGGAGGCTGACAGGGAGCGAATGGTCCCTGGGTGTGGGTCTGGGGCAGCAGGGGACCCAGGGACTCCCGCTGGTGACAGGTCAGCGGTCGGCGGGGCGTGACTTACCCAGGTGGGGAGCATCCCCGTGTGAGGGCGGGCGGCTCGGTGGCCGGGCCCGGGAGGATCCCGCGGTGGAGGGGGAGTCTCAGGGTCCGTTTACTTTGGGAAATGGCCGGCCCCGGCGGCCTGCAGCGCGCTCCGCTCGCGATCCCGACGCCAGTCCCTCCTCGATCCCGTATCCCGGTCCCGGTCCCGGTCCACCCGCCGCCACGCCTCACGTTCGCGCAGGCGACGAGGGAGGCGGGGTCTCGGACAGCCTATGGCGAGCGGCGTTTCCCCGCCCCGTGAGGCGCCGCGCCCCTCAAGCACGCGCCATCGCTTTTGATTGACAGCGCCCGCTGTCCAATGAGGAGCCCGCGGTGGCGGCGACCTGCCAGGGGAGTGTCTGTCAGATGGCGGCGGGGGCACCGTGAGGGCGATGGGGAGGGGGACAAGAGGCAGCGCGTCCGCTTCAGGAACCCAGACCTGTGTTCCTGAGAGCACGACGAATAACCTCAAAAACAAACTTCATCCCCTGGAGGTCAAATCTGCCAGGCGCGGGTCAGCCCAGTGGGTGTCCAGGAGCCCCGAGGGCGCCGTTTTGAATCACCGGACACATCCGAGTTCCCCTAAACCGCACCGTTAACGTGACTGCTTTTGCAGCGTTTAGGGCCATAAAAGTGGTAATGAACCTCAGCTGATTAGGATGCTGATGCTGTACACGCGCAATTAATTGGTTACCCGTGAATTAATTAGCGACCCCTGCAAGGCAGCTGCTGGCCCTCGATCGCTGCACAGCGGCCGTGCCCTCGCCCTCTGCCCGGGCACCGACACGGGTGCCCTCGGGACAGGAGGGGTTTGATTTCCAGCAGGAAACTTGGCAAAACGCTGAGTGCCAGGGCAGCTCCCGGTGATGGCAGCTGTGTCCTTGGGGCAGGAGCCGGCAGGGAGCTTTGTCCCAGGGCTCAGCCTTCCCCGGCCTGAGTGTTCCCTTTATTTTGGCATGGCGTGTTGGAGCCCGTGAATAAAACTGCAGCGCTGGGGCTGTGCCGCTGCTCCAGCACGTCACACGTTATTAACTTTCCCTACGCAAAGCAAACAAGAGTCTGGTGATGGGAGATGCAGTGGGACCCCCAAGGCTGGGGTTTATGGCCTGGCACTGGTAAGGATGGAGGACACCCACGGAGGGGCCGGGCTTGCCCAGGTCTGTGCCTTCCCAAACTGATCAGGACCGTGGATCAGAGCAGGCCTGTGTTGGCTCTGGGGTACTGGGCTAGACACAGAAGCACAGAGTCATTAAGGCTGGAAAAACCCTCTGAGACCATCGAGCCCCACCCTTCCCCAGCACTGCCAAGGCCTCCACTGACCCATGTCCCCAAGTGCCACATCCACACGGCTTTTAAATCCCTCCAGGGATGGGAACTCCACCACTGCCTTGGGCTTGACAGACCTTTCAGTGAAGACATTTTCCCTACTATCCAGCCTAAACCTCCCGTGGCAAAGCTTGAGGTCATTTCCTCTTGTCCCAAAACAGGGTCTTTCACCCTGTGTGCAAGAGGCCACATGCCCTGAAGACATTTTGGCAATTAAATCCATCATGAAAAGACTGTCTTTTTCTTTGCAAAGTTGAGGAGTGTCTTGATTGCTTCATTTGAAATGGGCCACTGCTCTCCAAGAACTGCAGACCTGGCCTTCCTTACGGCCACGGCCTGGAGATGGGATCAGTTGCCCAATGACTGTCACCAGTCCCCTGTGTCCTGGTGCACACAGCCTGCTCAAGGGACAGCAAGTCCTTGGGATGTACAGGAAGGGAGGAGAAAAAGAGTGGAGCTGTGGGTCTCATCCAAACATCCTCTAAAGTAGGGAAGACTGTGGATCACTGCTGCTCCCTCCTGGATCTGGGTAATTACAGACATTCCCATCCTGCAGGCAGAGATGGAGGTGATGACACAAGTCCAGAGCAGCCTGACTTGTCCTGCAGCTTCACACACCACTCCAGGCCAGCAGCAGCTCTTGCACCAGGAAGGAAACCAGGTCGATTTGGGAGCTGGGTGAAACACCACTGAACCTGCGTCAATCCCACCTCATCCAGGATGTAGGAAAACCTCAGATCCATCCTCAAACAATTCCCTGCACCCAAAGCCACCAGACTGCATCACTGCCCAGAGCCAGAGGTGCCTGAGAATCCAAATTACGTGGGACATATCTGAGCAAGGAAGGGAGAGCCAGGAGAACCCTGGGTGCAGGTACAGCCCAAGCAGGGTCTCCCATGGTTTGAGTCTGGTTTTGTTCCAGCACGAGGGCCTTGTGACAGACACCTGAGCACCAGAGACCTCCCTGGCCCCAGCTGGGCTTTCCCCCACCATCCAAACCCCTCTCCACGTGCTGGATCCTGCTCCTCTATGGCAAAGGGAAGCACAGAGTGTGGGACCCAACCAGCTTGAAAGGCCCTGATCCACCCCAGCTTGGCTTGCCCCAATAATTCCCTGTTCCTGCTGCCACCCGTGTGTGGGACAGGGGGAGGGACAGCAGGGAGGGGATGATTTAAACCAATTGTGCAATGATGGGGAAAGAGCAGAAGCACACAATGAAGCCTTGCTGCAGCCAACAGCACCACAACCTGTCACTGCAGGGACAGTCCCCTCCTGCCACCATCCTCTGGCTGCAGCCTTGCCTCACACTCTGCTGGGAATGTGGAGCTCTGGCATCACACCAAGCCCTGGAGGAATCCACAGGGCTGACTGATCCCTGACCACATTCCACCTGCAGCTCCTGGTGCTGTTCACTCATTCCCATGTTGTGCCGTCAGTGGGGTGACGTGCCTCTCATCCATATAGTGAGCAGTTGGGAAGGATTCTGCACTTCCCTGGCCCCCAGAGCCTGTGAGAAAGGCTCAGGAAGGGCACGGAGAATCCAGGGAGTCCCTGAAGTACAGAACTTGCTGAAGAGACGAGTGTGGTGGGGTTTTAGTGTAAGCTCTGAGCAAACGGACTCAAAAGGGGCAGCCCACTTGGATATTGGGCTGGAGGTGCTGGGCTGGATGTAGGAGCACCAGGCTGGAGCTGGGTGGCAGGAGCAGGAGTGCAGAGGGAATGGGCTCAGGCAGAAGCATCTCTGCAGCCAGCTGTGGGCAGCTCTGGGAAAGGAAAATCTCCCTGCATGTGTCAGGGTACTGAGACCAGAGTGTGTGAGTTCGGTCAGGCCAAACCTCAAATCCTGAATTAAGTTTTGGGCCCCTCAGACAAGAGACACTGAGGGGCTGGAGCGTGTGCAGGGAAGGGAACGGAGCTGGGAAGGGTCTGGAGCAGCAGGAGGGGCTGAGGGAGCTGGGGGGCTCAGCCTGGAGAAAAGGGAGGCGTCAGGGGGGAACCGTTCTGGCTCTTGCAAGTCCCTGACAGGCGTAGGGGAGCCGGGGGGGAGTTCGGCTCTGCCCCAGGGAACGGGATCAGGAGGAGAAGGGAACGGCCTCCAGCTGTGCCAGGGGAGGGTCAGATTGGATATTGGGATATTTCTTCCTGGAAAGGGTGGTCAGTCATTGGAACAGCTGCCCAGGGCAGGGGTGGAGTCCCCATCCCTGGAGGGATTTCAAGGCCGTGGATGTGGCACTTGGGGACATAGTCAGTGATGGCCTTGGCAGTGCTGAGGGAACAGTTGGACTTGATGATCTCAGAGGGATTTCCCAGCCTCAAAGATTCTGTGATTCTATAGTTCTATTTAAGTCACAACCTCCAGTCTCCCAGGCAAATTCCAGCTGCTTCTTTGCTGTGCCGAGTGGGAACACCCAGGGCTGGATCAGCCCAGAGACCCAACCCCTGCAGAACCAGGTCCAGGGGACTGCCAACACCCACAGCCTGCCCTGGGGAACAGCACAGCTCCAACAGCTCCAGGGGCTTTCAGGCCATGGGGCTGGGGAGGTGGTGAGGACAGGGCAAAGGGGACCAGGCGTCACCCTAGGCCTGGGGCTCTTTGTACCAGGGGTGCTGCTGCATGCCAGGGCTGACTCCTGCCGTGGGAACACTGGGATCAAGGACAGCACTGAGCTGGGGGACTGGAGGAACTGGTGACTGGCTTCTCCCAGCACAGGGAGGATGGGGAGGGGCCCAGAGGGGCTGAGCTCTGTGAGCTCCACACAGAGGAGCTCTGTTAGAGCCCCACAGCCCCTCTGCTTCCGTGGCAAGGGGAGGACACATCCCTGTTCCCTTCAGGGTGCTGCTGCATCCCAGGAACCGCCTGGGGACCCCCATGGT